AAAATGACTGAAATAAAACCCCAACTTTTTTTTTTTTTTTTACTGTTTCATTTGACACAAGGTGATAATGCCAAACGACATGGAGTTACAGGAAGTGAAAGAAAATAAGAATATTTTAGTGAAGTGAGGAAAGGACAATAAAAGAACAGTTTTGTGGGTGGTATATCAGCCCGCAAACTGATATTGAATGACGGAAGCCAACAACAAACAAAACAAAGACTTGAATAAAAAAAAATATATTGCCAGGTTTATTTTCATTAAAGAAAATACATCAACAAAAATAAAGTTACAATGCACAAGGCAAAAAAATATCTCTGTATATTTCTGTAGAAACTAAGAAGAACGTTGTCTGGAAAGGACAGTTCTGTAATTGCTGTTAAAAGGATGACTTGACCTGGAGATGGCTGCAGCAGTGTCCAATGGTGATGGCTGGCTGGAACTGCTGCTGATGGTTGGAGCTGTGGGCTGGCAGCTTGAACAGATACTACACTTTGATCCTAGTAATCTGGGCTACGGAAGGTTGTATTTACCCAGTCTCCCCATTGAGACATGATGTGACACAAGGTTGGGTTTAATGTAGGGAATCTGAGTGTGTTTTCACCTTGGTGAGGGCCAAAACTTGTCCAGACCCTGATGAAAAGGTAGGAACAGCCATGAGTAGCTGTTCCCAGAAGGACAAAACCCCTCAGTATTTTTTTCCCAGCTGTGTCTCTGTCCATAGACATATCCACAACTGAGTCACACTCTGACCAAAGACAGAGACGCAACTGAGAGATGATGATACTACCCAATATGGGTGGCAGAAGGTGTTTTTTTTTACGCTTTGAGGCTTTTTTATATCCTGAATCAATTTTACAATGATTGCTGGTTAAGATTTTTCTTCCGGTTGTTTTTCAAAAAATGTGGGCATGCTGACAGGATACAACATGAATCAGAAAGACAGAAGATCATGATTCATGCTGCATTTAAATTTTTGAAGATTTTTTGTAATAAAATAAGTGCATCCCATCTCCCCTCTCACTTGTAGCCATCCATTATATTAAAATAAACGTTTTCAGAGCTGAAGCTAAATTAGTCAAATAAAACTTCATAAGCTTCTACTTAGAGTTGTTGCTATACTACAAGATTGTAGATGGCAGGGAAGCAAGAAAATGGAAGGGAGTTCCAACAGTGAGAAGTGCGAGAAAAGAAACTGTTAGAATAGGAGTGGCAGTTGCATCTCGTTAGTTCAGTGAGACCTAGTTGCCAATCTAGTAGCATGTTTACATGTAGTTGAGACATCAGGGAAAAAAGTTCCTCAGAACAGTTGCCATGAAAATATTTGTAAAAAAAGACAAAAGAAAGCCACATCACATCAGTTAGAAAGCGACTGATGTCAAGATAGCTTTTAAAACTTATTTAAGTAACTAGAAAACTTTTGTTTGACCTTAAAATTCTGTCCATGTTTTTGTGTTCATTGAAGTTGCAGATTTCACTGTCTTTTATCTTGGAAATCTTAAATGTCAACTGACCAACCAGTTTGATTGCTATCAACGAGAAAAGATGGTGACTTTTGAATCTTCAGTCTTTTAAATAGTAAAGATTTACCAAGTTTATTATTAATTCCTCTGTACATTGGCCACATGCAAACTTATGACACATTGCTATTTTCTTTCACTATATTTCTTAACTTTAGAAGATTGAAGCTCTAGTATATTCAATTATGCACTTTGTTTATTAAACCTTTTATTTCTTGTTGCCTAATATCCATTGCTTTGTATGTTTAAAGTCTTCATTGCAAATTCTTCAAATGACCCAGATACATTCTCATTGGTCATCCATCAGTATCAGCTTAATTAAGTGATAAGTCTTGCAACTTTAGTCAATTGTTATATTCTGTGCTAATAGGAATATATACTTGAAAAATATGGTGGATAAAATAAGTAAAGGTTTATTGTAAAACCAGTACAATAAGAATAAAGGTAACAGTTATTGCGCAAGTCTGAGTCATACTCAACAGATTCCAGCTAGACTCTGTAGTCTGTTGACTTACAGATACTTAAAGAAGTTACAACCTATAGTGTAGTAGTCACTCATGGCAGGTTATTCCATTACATCATCAATGAAACATGATAATAAAATATTTCTATGAATGGCTTAGGAGGTTTTAGAAAAAAATGCCTTTTCACATGAATAGTTATCAATTTAATTGGTCAGCAAATAAAAAAAATTGATTTTTACTCTTGTAGAATTTGAGGTCAGCAAAACAAGGGGAGGTAACTGACTACTACTGTCAATATTTCATAGTTTACAAAACTTGACACAAAGAAATTATTATGACTATCTTATAAAACTACAAAGGTAAGTAAAACATTGTTTATTATAATTTGTCATTACATATTCATATATTTATTATAAGTAAATTTTATTCATCATGAAATCACTATAGATGCAAATATTAAATTTGATTTAATAAAGGCAATGAAAACAGACAGTAAAATGTTAAAAATAAAATGGAACTTCAAGGTGAGTAACAGAAGCAAGTTTGTGCAGGTGATTTGAATTTTTTAAGGATGTTGGCTTATCTTCCATATTATATATATTTGACTATTCTCAAATAATGTCTTCATTTGATTGCTATCAATTTCAACTCAGAAACCTAAATGCGGAGCCTCATTCAGTGAGGAATCTCTTGCTGTTCATAGAATTCAAGAATATCTTTGTAGAATGGATTTTCATTTCTTCCTATTCTTGGTATTAAAAATTGATGAATGTAATTATTAGTTTCAACCCTAAAAACTTAATGTAAGAATAGAAGACATTTTTTGGGTTTGCTTTCCAATGTTTTCTTATGAATGAATAAAATTTATAAAATGTTGTATTTTCTATTTGTCTCTTTGGAAAGAAAAAGAAAAAATGTCACTAAAAATGGATCAAGTACTCACTTAAAAATGAATCTACAATAAATGATCAAGTTTAGCTCCAAGGAGAGTAGAAGCATATTTAAACTAGTATAAACTAGTTTCATAGGGTGCAATAGGCATAAAATTTATGGGTGATCATCCTGAAAAAGAGATTTGACTAAAAATAAATTAAAAAAAGACTCTTTGAATTATCCTTTCTACTATCCTCATCTGAGTGTTTTTCCCATAAACCTTCAACCAAAGGGTCCTTTATCTTTCCTTGTTACATTTTAGGGACTTTGTTATAACAAAAAGGCTGTTACCAATTGAAAAAGCATTTGGCAGAAAATTTCAACAAACTCAAATATTTTGCATTTACCTTGATGACCACTGAAATGAACCAATAATTTTATTGCCTATAACACTGGCCCAAAACATTGCACCACCTCCCCTGTTGATCATTTCTACAAGGAACTTTAGCCTAGCCGTTAAATCCATCCAATGTAAATCTACAGTCATCACTAAAAAATACTGTTGAGAAATCAATTTTCATGTACATCTTTGTCCATCTTACCTGTTTTACTCTTTGTCATGTTTACATTAAGAAATTGAATTTAAAGTTAGTTGTAGTTTTATTTCTGAAATTTTATTTAAAATTGCTATAATTCATTTCCAATAATGCATTTGAAAAGAAAAGTTAATGGGTCATTTTACTGCATAACAAAATACCCATCATGCTCTTGTGTTACAAATATGATATGACAAATGATTATGAACTTGGTAAAAGTCTTTCACATATTCTCCTAGCTTGTCACTTGTTAAACTTTATGAAACACTTTTTGTCAAATTTCTGGAATGGGAAGTTATCATTATTGGAAATGGGCAGTGGAACAAGAATAGTCTACTCCCATAAATTAAATAAAGGGTTCAGTTCGGAATTGGTGACATAGTAATCGTGAATTCAATCCCTGGGCCGGGCAGTGGGTATTTGGACTCATTGGATGAGCAATAACTGAGCAGTACTAAAAATAAGAGCTAGACAAGAAATCCCTAGACATGGGCAGTGGAACAAGAATAGTCTACCCCTGTAGATTAAATAAAGGGTTCAGTTCAGAATTCTTTGTAGGCTACCCAGAACAATATACACCTGATGGAACCCAGAGAGCACAATGACCAAAACATTGTGTTAACAACAACAAAATCAGGACAATAGTCTGAACATAAATACTGTAAATAATTCTTTGTCCAGTGAGCAATTCCAACAACAAATTAATTGTATTAAAACTAGGATTGTTCTTCTATGATGGAATATGTAGCTTTCATATAAATTTAAGTTGTAGATGTAAATTTATAGAAGATTTGATGAACAAATAATGATGTTATGACTTTATATAAACAGTTTGGGCTAGGGTTCCATTTACTAGGCATGCTGCAAGATGGCAGTATGGAGGCAGTACAAAAAGTGTGCTAGATTTGTATGAGTAGATCAGAGTTAATTAGTTAGATCCAAGATAGAAAACTGATAAGTAGGTTTGCAGAAAAGAAATGTGATAGGTGTTTGACATGTATTTTATATTTTAATTAGTGATGATTTTTATAAGCATGACAAGGTGTGGCATAAGAACTTTTATAGATTTCACAAGTCTGTTTGGCACAATAGTTGATTTGTTGGGTTACACTTGAAACTTATTGAGTGAACAAAGTAGCACAAAATTTTGTGCTGAGGGAACTTAGGATAAGTAGCAAGAAGACATTAGTTGTTTTTAATTATTTTTTTTACTCTTGTTTACCCAATACAAGCCTAAGAGTCACTCAAGGTAGAGCATTAATGAATAAGGTTGTTGAAAGTAGATAATGGTTGACTTGAAACTTGAAGAGTTTAAGATCCTAGTGATAAAGGTTGATTGATTGATTTGATTTTTTATGGATTATCAACTTTTTGTAGATTATTTAAAGCCAGAACATTTTTAGACTGTAAGAATTGTTTGGAGAAAATAATAACTCAATAGCTTTAGAAAGAGTATTTGAACGCAAGTAAATATTATGAACCAACTGGAATTGGAGCTCTCTGATTTTCAATTCCGAGCTGTTATCTTTTACACCACAAGCACATCCAAGCTTACAGCACCTGGTATTCCCAAGTGATCCCCCATCTAGGTACTAACTAGACTTGATGTTGCTTAATATTGGTGATCATACAAGAACTGGTGTTTCAACATAGTGATCCTCCCAGAAGTCTGTTCCACAAAATAATAGTTCTTGGGAGGAAGTTATATGAATAGAACTTCCTCCTTACCAATGGAATACAAAGGGAATGAGGATGATTCAACTCTGTCTATGTGGCATGGTGAGTCTTAGCTGTAAATGTCTGAACTAGTGTCTTCATTTCTGGATAGATGGCACATGTTCACTCTGTGTAGTATATGTTTATTTTCTTTCCTGGATTGTTTATCTCTTCATTAAAAGTGCTGGAGGTAAATATTTTCAAGGCTGGCATTATCCACCTGATAGTCAGGGATCTGAACCTTAGAGTAGCTCCTAAGGAGTCTATCCTCTCAGCATGGGTATATTGGGGTTGCTGTATTGCCATTTTGTGAATGGAATCTTAACTGTGCATTTTTTTTTTTGTATGGAGCCTCTTGATGTCATGATGACATGCAATTATAGCGTACTTTCTGACAATTAATCTAGATAGTTTTTTACATTGTTTGTTTTGCTGCCTCAACTCTTCACACTTCCAATATTTCAATTAGTAGATTGGTACAATTGTGCCACAGAAGTTTGTGCAAGAATTATGGAGTTATGGTTTGTGTAGTGGTAGAGATAGATGAGAGAAAATTGTTAAAGAAAATATAACGGGTAGAAAGATTAGATGATTGTTGGGTTTTCAGAGACTGATTTGTTTTTACAGCTTATCAATCCTTTGTGGGTTATTTAAAGTCAAAATATATTTTAGACTGTAGGATGTTGCTTACTAACTTGGTGTTCTTAAGCAGTTCCCCATCTAAGTACTGACCAGACTGTTTAACTCAGCGATCAAACGAGAACTGGTGTTTTCAATGTAAGTGGGCTTTTGGAGGGAGGGAAAGGAAGAAGTGTTTTTATGTTGAATCTTTGTAAAATATATGTTTTGGAAAAAGTACCCAGAGGGCGGAAATGACGAAGATAAAATATAAAATATATCATTTCAAAAAAGTATTTATTGTCTAACCTTTAGCACTTTGCAATATTTATAAGTATTTCAGCCATTGGGTATAAGTAGCCAGATAACTGCAGTAGCATCATCTTCAATTAGTCATTTTCCTGTTGCCATAGTAGGATATGCCGACATTAATGCAAAATTCAACCACACTATTGCCTGAGGATGAGAGTTGCATGCAGTGGCTGTACAAACATTTTATTTGACAAATGCAGTCACCTACATAGTGAGTGCTAAAGTTTAAGAAAAAAATGATAAATCAACCATCATAAATTCTACTGATTTTCTACTGTCCTCTTGCAGCATGCCTGGTAAACATAATATTGGCCACATTTTTTTTGTCCATGAAGCTTGTATCAATAATAAAATATTAAAATTATTATTTCATGTTTAAGCTCTAAACAATAAATGTCAATTATTTTTCTCACACATGGTTAAATTAAAATTACCAAATTATAAATATAGAATTTCAACCCTAGAAAGTTGAGGTTTATATTTCTATTAAAAGAAACTCATTAGTTTTGTTTGAAATTATTTCAAGTGAAGGTGTATTGACGAACATCACTAACTCTACTGAAATTGAGTCTTCAGCTCTTTCAGCATGTACTCCCATGCTCTAGTTATTAATTTATTCTTCAATGAAAAACATTTTTCTTCGATATTTCTAGCTTTTTGTTTCATTTTTTGTCTTACTTGTAATCCAGTATCAATGTTTAAAAGCAGTTACATTTCAATTTTTTATTGAAGAAAAATCTGCTCAACTCAGAAATATATGTAATTTTTTTTGCTGTTTATCTCAACCAACTTTAAGAAATAAAAGTTTTAATCAAATAATTTTTTTTTTCTTTTTCTGCTTGTCTATTGAGACAGAACAATCATCTGCATCTTTTATATTGTTTTTTTGAGTCTACATTTTTGTGATTGTTCAAAGCAAAAATTAACAAACACATTTCAGAAACAAGACCACAAATATGAATGTTTTTTTATTATTTTTTTAAATTTAAAATAGATATAAAAATATTAGTTTCAGCCATTTACTGAGTGAAGAAATGAAATGTCATGTTTAGACCTGCTTGGTAACTGAATATTTCCTCCAGGCACCAGTAATTAGTCTAAATAAATGCCAGATTTTGAATGCCATTTTTAAAGCTGGTAGACCCTCCTAACTTAGAACATTGGAGCAGTACAGTCTTCCCTCACCATGACTAAATGTATATAGATAGTTTCTAAATGAGAAAAGTCAATTAATTAATTATATTTCAAATAAAATATTTTTTTATGAAAATTAATTTTTTATGAATTTTTGTCAATTATGGAATTTGAAATTATTTTTAATTCGCTATCATAGAATTTTTTCCACTTTCAATTATAGAGAAATTTTAAATTTTAAGAGAGATTTTAACTTGAAAAAAAAATTGGCAAGAATTTTAAATGCCTCAAAAAAGGAATCTATGTCCACTTGAGTACAAATCATGAATAATAATAATAAAAAATAATAGCTAAACTTTTAAGAATAGCGATCTTTACTTCAGATAATGACTTAATTTACAAAAAAAAACTTTTTAAAACCTTTTCATTTCTAAAGACAAAAATAGGAAAAAGGAAATCATTTTGAATTTTTCACAATCCATTTTTTTTACCATCTGTTCTTCTCCTGAGTCTTCTTCTGGAAAGGTTTTCTTTAATATATTTTTTTTTTAAATATCTATTCTTCATTCGTATATTCTAAATTTTAAAAAAAAGTTTACTTTGAAATTTCCTTTTAATTATTTTCTCCTCGAAATGTCTACTCATTTTTTGTTTTCATGCACAAACACTTTTTAGTTTTTTGGAAATTTTTCGATGGGTATATCACTTATTCATAATTTAACAATTTAAGTTTAAACAGTGGATTTTTTTCGACAGTTTTCATTAGCTGTTTTTCATTTCATATTTGCCATTTTCTCACACGCTACCTTTCACTCAACGATTTAAAAGCTTCGTTATTGTTTTCCCTCTCGTCTGATGTTTGGCATTTTTTTAATTCTCTTTTCCAGTCGACAGGAAATTCACTTTTATCAAAAATCACTCCGCAACAACTTCCGGAAACCACAAAAAACTGATTACAACTACTTAATAAAATTGTTATTAAAAATCATTCACTATTCTTTAAAAAAAGAATCCTATGTTGTGTGTTTTATCTTGAAATATTTTCAGAATAGTCTAGATTCACTTTTAAACTTCATTTAAGTGTGCACTATTTGCTATCGCCATTTTAGGCGGATGTTTCCAGTTGAAGGTCACAGTTGTTATCACGCGGTCGAGGTTTTCGCCGTTTTGAATTATGAGGTGACAACGTTATTTTTATGGGGAGAACGAGGCGGCTTTTTTACCTTGATATTACTCAGTCTCAATTCACTTGAATTTGCAGACCTAGGAAATTTCACCAGAATCTGTTTGACGTTTTTAAGGAATACAAACGCGTGTCGCACCGGCAAATCTACAAATAAATAAGGTAGGTGGGTTCCTTGGGAATCACTGAGTGTGTCTTCTTATTTCTGCATGGCCGGCTGCCACCACGATGAATGTTATTTAAAAATTAGAAAATCCTAGTTTTATTGCGATTTATTCTTACTAGGTTTCTTTATATGGTGTATCTTAAGAAATGTTAGATAATTATTAAATTTTGTTAAATAGTATGTAGCCATTTAAACGATGATGTTTCATTATTTTCCTTTTTAGGCAGTGTGTAGTTAGAAAGTCTATTTTAAAGTTGCATTATTAATAAATTCCTTACGTGAATGATTTCTAAAGTTATTTTTAAATCCCTCTGTTGTAAATAAGGATTGATCCAGGTATAAAAATGATTAAAATGTACCTTATTTTTTTTCTTAGTCTGCTGATTTCCTTTGAAGTCACGGAAAAATATTCCAACTACTGCTCTTTAAGGCAGTAGTTTGCCAAACACCGGTACACATCTCTAAAGAAAACCTTGATTCTTTTGAAACTGAATAAAAAACACGATCTTTATTAAAAGACCCATGTGGAGATTTTCCAGTCTAAAATATAAACAGTTGAACAGAACTTTAATCTCTAAAGCCAAAAAGAAAAATAAATTTCTATTTTAATTTTCACAAACTAAAAATCATTTTTAAACGCAGCCATTTTTTTAAGTCAACTTTAGATTTTTTCTTTATTTTTCTCCTCAATATTTTTAGATTAATTCCCAGTTTCTTTCAAATTATCAATTAGTTAAACATTTTTCTTTTTTTAAAATATGAAATCGGTTCTCAACTTTTACCTATATTTAAAAAAATTGCATTAGTATTAGTTTTTAAAACTAAAAGTGAATAAAAAGAAGTTTTAAAATCCCCCCCCGCCATATCCCGTTTACTTTTTTTTAATCAATTTTTACAAAAAAAGTTTGACTCGCAGTTCTTTTATGTTGTCATGGTGACAATTTGAAAAGTGCTATTTATATTAAATTATCTTTTGCTAAATTCCAATAAAGTAGTAAATTGAGCAAATTGCAAATATTGCAGAAAAATCTTTTTTTGTTGACACTTTTATTGGATATTCTTTATGAGTTCGATCGAGAAAGAAATCTAACTAAATAAATTTAAAATTATCCATCAGGCTTCGTTGTAATTGAATTGAATATAAAATAAAAAAAAATCATTTTAGTAAGAATATTTCTCATAAAAAAAACCCAAAAAACGATCCTTTCCAATCATTCGGTGTTATTGCTAATGTTTAAAAAAAACCTTCAAAAACTAATTTCAATTCTGTTTTTGAATCTTGAATTTAACAATTTATTAGTCGATTAATCTTATCATTTTTTTATGACAATTCTTTAAAAATGAATAAACTATTTGGTTTTATTTTTAAAAGCTTATTATTAATGCTAAACTTTCACGACGTTTGATGTTTGCGAATTTTCACCTAATTTCGTCTTTGAAGCCTTTTTTTCTGATTGATGTGCACTACCAAATAAATATTTTATTTTAAAAAAATCTTGTGCGGAAATAGCAGCCACTAAGT